ATATACTAGGGGTGCAACGATACACAAAATTCACGGTTCGGTTCGGTTCGATACTTTGGTGTCACGGTTCGATATTTTTTCAATACAAAAAAAATGTTCATGCCTTTTTAATTTGTCATTTATTAAAATTATAAATATATATTTTAACTCAAAAGTACAATTTTTAAATTTAATGTTGCTGAAACAAAAGTAATTAAAAAAATAAATATATCTCAGGGCTCTCAAAATTTCAAAATCCCTGGTAGCCCTTCGGGCAGGGACTCTTCAGTTTTGGTAGCCCAAATAAATGTAAGTAGCCCGAATAAAAAGAGAGCAATTTTTTGATTGATGTTTTGTTTCCTTTACAATATTATACATTAAAGTATAATATTGTAAAGGAAACAAAACATTAATCAAAAAATTGTTGAAAACAAATTACAACATTGTATAAAAATTACAATCATCAACTCAAATACTTGGTTCTAATTGAACAGAAATTTCTATGAACTTGTAAGAACTGTGTAGGACATGAATCAGTCTGTGTCAGATCCTGAATTTGAAATTTCCACTGAAGTCACGGGTCAGAGGTAAGTGGAACCAAGATCTAGGCCATTTGCTTTTTGAAGTTTGCAAAGACTGATAAATTTTGCCAGTGGTAGTTCACTCTTTGCAACATAGTACGCTGTTCTAAACAGATTTTTCAGGTTTATTTTTAGTATGTTATTTGCAATTGGTGTTTGTTCTGGGAAAGATATTGCAGACTGAGCAATAATGCATTTCTTGCATTTCTCATGGGTTCTAATGGGGGCCTTTCTTAAAATGACTGGTCCCAGTAACAAAGGCGCTTGTCGACTCAGAAATCGAGAGAAAACCAACAACACACCCGGCAGAACATTATGTTATTTACACGGGTGCACATAAGTGGTCCGCATGTGGCATTCGCTGTCAAAATAAAAGACGCGCACCAGATAAGAAGTTGCAACACGCGTTTGCATACAAATAAAAGGCACCGTTTTTGTCCACTAGAGTGGGATTTTCACGGCACATTCCGCACCACATCTCTGTGCGTTCATCATTTGTTTGAAGCCAGCTCACCTCCTGCAACCACTCTTCCGAGAATACGTGCTTCTTTTGTGGTTCGGACTCCTTCTGACATTTGTTTGGAGGTGGAGGAACACCAAAGTTATTGCTTAAGGGAGCTTGCTTCTTCGACATCTTTAAGAGTTCTAAACAAATGTCTGTCCTCCTCCAGAAAATCTTATGTATGCAAACACACTTTGCAACTTCATATCTTGTGCGCGTTTTTTTTTTTTTTTTTTGACAGCGAATGCGCACCTGCGGACCACTTATGTGCAGCCCCGGTTATATAGCTCGTCATATTGCAGCCACAGAAATTCTTTTGTCCATGGAACCATAAAGCTGCACTTTCTTTTTGCCTTATAGTCTGATTTGTCATAACTTTTCCGTTTTGTGGTAAGCTTTTCTTTGGCTGCCACTTCTTCACCCTGACCTGTCTTATTTGGCTCAGCATAACTAAGATATATATCCTGCTGCTTTTACACACGCACTATATGAGCTAAATTACCGGGGCTGCACATAAGTGGTCCGCAGGTGCGCATTCGCTGTCAAAATAAAAAACACGCACAAGGGTTAGGGTTAAATTTAAAAACTGTACTTTTGAGTTAAAATATATATTTATAATTTTAATAAATGACAAATTAAAAAGGCATGAACATTTTTTTTTGTATCGAAAATATATCGAACTGTGACACCAAATTATCGAACCGAACCGAACCGTGAATTTTGTGTATCGTTGCACCCCTAATATATATATATATATATATATATATATATATATATATATATATATATATACATATATATGGAGTGCTTGTAGTCACAGACAATGCAAAGAGGAGTGTGGATATTTCCCTGCACTGGACATTCTCCCCTGGTTTCCCCGGAGCCCCTCTTCCCCTGCTGTACTGTTTATATGTATATATTTCACCTGGTTTTCCTCTGTAAATAAACCCCCTTTTACTTTCAACCAGCTTTAAGTCTTGCAATTAAGTCCTTCACCTAACCAACCTTGACAGTAACATTGTCACGGTCATGATCAGGTCATGTAGAGAGGTAAGTAAGGACCCAAGTACAGGCACTGACTTTTCTGAGAGTGAGCTTTTACTTGCAGTTGGTGATAAACAAACAAAACAAAGCTAACAGAACCTATACTGAGAAAAGCTAGAAATAACAAATTAACCTGAGGACGGTGAGCTGAGGCAAGGAACAGGAAACATGGGGAAACGGGCAGGGAACACAGCTGACACTAATCAGATGAAATGAAACTGGGAGGAAGCAAAACAGAATACACTGACATAAGACAAAGACCTTCAATGTAAAACAGGAAACACACCGACTGACCTCAAGACAGAGACTGGGGAGACATGGCGTGTCCAAATTCAGGGTCTGCATCCTTGGAGGACGCGGCCTTCGCGGTCTATGTACGTCAAAGGCCGAGAGGGCCAAAAGTGCGAGGCTTGTGAAATGGCAACCATGATACTCACCGCTGGAAATGTTTCATACAGCATTGTTTGACAGAAATGAAGGAGAAAATGTTTTTGTTCATCTGTTTGTATGAGCTTTGTTTGAAAAGTATCCGAGGCTGAGACATGATTGTTGGGCTTAATTTCTGTACTGAACAGTCATTTTAAGATTAGCCAATAAATAACAATCAGCTAATTTTGTTAATGAAGCTAAAGTCATCTCACTTTGGTAATGTAAATATAATATGGCCAATATTACAGTTATTATTATATTAATCATTATTAGTTATTACAGCAGTGAACTCTAGCTTCAGTAAAGTTGCAGTTATTTATATTTATATAGTTATTATGTTGGCATTACTAAATTTGGCTCAATGTTTACATATATGTGTAAAAAGAAAATGTACGAGCTGTGATAACTGTTTCTGATAAAATGAAGAGTAGACTGATATATGAAATATTCCTTTATTGGGTGTGAAAATCAGACCATGTCATAACTGCTTTAAGTCATACAGAATAGATATCAGAGCCTTAAACAGGCTGACATCTGCTAAATGGGTCAAACTGGGCAGAAAGTATACAAACACAGAACATCCTTATAGAATATGATGTAACACTATAGATCAACTTACCTCAGAATATATAAAGCATATAAACAATTACAGCAATATGATGCAACAAACACAGCAGTGCTACTAATCCAAAATACTCAAAGCTTCATAGAACTCAAACAAACATGGACATTTATTTTTAGGTCCATTCTGCTGCTGATACATACTTTAAGTTTCTGAATATTACACTTGTTGCTGCCTTTCATAGTGTGTAACTTGAAGGCCCTGAGTACTTTCTCCCACACTGAAAACACTTGGATGATAAAATTATTTGAACATTACCACTGCAGTCTGTTCAGAGTAAAACATACATTTGTTTTTGAGAGTAAAGGTCTGACAGCTGCTGCTTGAATCAGCAGTGAGAAAACATGGAAGCTGTAGTTGGACTGTTGTTGATGATGTATGGAGTTTCTCATGGTGAGCTGTTCAACTTTTCCTGCATTAATACTTCATTTTAAAATCAAAAACATGTTTTGCAGCCACAGGATCCAGTACAATCAGCGAAATAAGTCTGATAATATTCTTATTGATGAAGCATTTGAAACAATGAGGCACTGAAAAAATAATAATTTGGAGAAAGATCAGCTGAATACAGTCTCAGTTTGTGAATATAATTTGAATGTTGTTTTTAATGACATTGTTTGGTGTCTTGTAATAATAATAACATCAAATGTTATGATCTAATTTACATACATATGCACCTAAAATAAATGCAGTTATTACAGTTGAGCTGATTAAACTATATAAATAACAATATTCATTATAAAATTGAACTGAAGATGAATCATTTACTCAAGTATTTATTTAACCTTGTTTTTGCTCTTTATAAACGACACTCACTGTTTTATTTAAACATTTGCAAATGTTGCCACAGTAGTAGAGACCGAACGCTCACACTGGTGATATTTTTGCTTTACTTGATGATGATGATGATTATCATTATTTAATAATAATAATGGATTGGATTTATATAGTGCTTTTCAAGGCACTCAAAGCGCTTTACAATACCACTATTCATTCACTCTCGCATTCACACACTGGTGGAGGAAAGCTACAGTTGTAGCCACAGCTGCCCTGGGGCAGGCTGACAGAAGCAAGGCTGCCATATCGCGCCATCGGCCCCTCTGGCCAACACCAGTAGACGGTAGGGTAAAGTGTCTTGCCCAAGGACACAACGACCAGGACAGAGAGCCCAGGGATCGAACCGGCGACCTTCTGGTTACAGAGCGACCATGGCTCAGGGGGTTGGGAAATGCAGGTGTGGAAACCTACTGTAATGGCAGACAGAATGGGACTCAGATTTTGGAGCTTTGGGAGGAACTGTGGTCATCCAACTGATGAACTATAATATGCTGTTCAGGAATTCAGTAAATAGACTACTAGATGTCAGTATAATAAATAATACAGTTCTTCGTAATATCACAAAGCATAGATCTCTCTTTATTCTCACCAATGCAACATTTAGGATCAATAACCTAAACAGGAATGACAGTGGTAATTATAAAGTTTTACTGCCATCTACTGATATTATTTGATTGTTACATTAATATAGCAAAAAGTTCAGTAAGCTTTGTACCAAAATAGCTGGTAGAAACATACTCCAAAGAGCTAATTTTTCAACACTTGTATCTGCATTTCTGCTTAAATACTGAATGTCTGTACTTTTGCCAATTCTGCTGGTATAGGAGGAGAAGTCAAAACCAGAAGCCGAGACTTTCTACAAGTTTTTTCTACAAATGCTCAAGTTTTTAAACTGTTCCAACATCTCTCTCTGTATATCTGTATGTCTCTGAGCTTCTATGCTGAAATATTATTAAAATGAAGGTAAAAACCGACATGATCATTCTGCTCAGACCCCAAGCAACTCTCCAACACTTCATGGGCTGGATGCTTCTTCTACACACATCATTCAAAGCGACACCTGTGCGTGCATGTGCAGCGAGTGGCTGTGATCTTGGAGTACCTGAGGCAGGTAGGGATCACGGCCAACCGGTAATCAATCTGCGACCTTGGGATATCACATGTTGACAATTTATCATCTCTCTTGTACTGACTTGTTTGCATCTGAAAACTTTGAAATTGTGGTCAGATTATTAGCATCACTTGTAGCCTCATCAAAGTCTTAACTTGTGTTTTTATTTAAAAAACGTTTTGGTGTGAAAAAAATGAATTTGCTGATTTGATTTTGCTTTGTGATCCACACAAAGGAACCTGATTTGCATTTACAAGGTGGTAAAACAGATACATTCACACTGCACTCTTGTTTCACACTGGTCTAAACCTCATGCTTTTTCTCTGTAAAGTTCCATTTCTCAAGCTAACTTAAATTTCTCACACCATCTTCCTCTTTTTTGCTTGCGTAACGAATATTAAGCAATGTCACCCAACACTGATCATGCTTTATTTAAAGAAACATGATGCCACATTGTTACACATTAACTGACATTAACATTTGCTGTTATCTAGAGCTACGTTACCTACCAGTCATCTCTATAACCTCTTGCCACATAAACAAGAGGCAGTGGAGAAATACATCCCTAACTCTTCACCTGGGTTTTTCTTTGTTGATAAAAAGGCTAAAACTCCCCGGCCCTGCATTCAAGACCTAAATAGCATTGCTATGAAAAATAAATAGCCACTCACATTCATATGCACTCCTTTCAAGACACTACTGGAAGCCAGAGTTTTCTCTAAGTTGAATCTCCAAAAAACCTTTCATTTTTCATTTCCACTATTTTTGACTTGAATTGTAAACAAAAACAGATCTCATTAATTTAAATACAATCCAGATCAGATTTATATATGTAGCACCACATCGTAACATGTGCACTGTCAAATGTTGAATCTTATGTCAGCTTATTTGTACTTAAAAGCCAGTTTAACACACGTCTTCCTCTGTCGGCTTTGTAGGTTTATGACCATTGTTGGGTGGTCTAACCTTACTTGAGCAAAGAAGAGGAAGATGGTGTGAGAAACTTTGCTTGAGAAAAGGAACATTATAAAGAAAAAGCATGAAGTTTAGACAAGTGTGAAAAAACAGTACAGTGTGAATGAATCTGTTACAATAATCAAAACAGTTTGAAAACTGCTGCACTGAGTAACACTGTGAAAAGTCTGAAATGTATCACTATTACATCTAATGTGATCACTCTAAATTTTTCACATAGTCAGTACTAGCGAGTTGCTTTCTTGATAGCTCATCTCTGTACAAAGGGAACAAAAATCCAATGAACATCACGTCTAAAGCTAAGTCAGCTTAAGTTCCGTCTCAGAGCTTCTTTTAGAATACATGACAAATGTTTTGTTCTCCTTCTCACAGTCCTTCACACATGAAGTCTATTTGCTTGAAAGCTAAAAAGTGGAAGAATAACTGATGTCACTTCCTTTTTTCCTCTCAGTGTGTGAAAAGATAAACAGAACTTCAGTAAAACCTGACACCAACACATTCACACATTCTCCTTTGAGGCCGATTGCTGACAGGACACACTGCAGTCTGTTCAGAGCAAAACACACACGTTTGGTTTTGAAGTTTGAAAGCTGCTGACTGGATCAACAGTGAGGAGACATGGAAACTGTAGTTGGACTGTTGTTGATGATGTTTGGAGTGTCTCATGGTGAGCTGTTCAACTATTCTCATGTAGTCTTTCACAAATACTTGATTTTAAATCAGTAACATGTTTTGCAGCCATGACATCCAATAAAATCACTGAAAGATGTTTGAGCTGCTTCATCTATAAGAATAACAGTGAAATATATATTTTTTTAAAAACACCTAAAATTCAGATAAAGATCAGATGAATACAGCCTCAGTTTGTGAATATCATTTTAACTTTGAACTAAATGTAACAATTTGTGATCTAATTTACATAAATATGCGCTAAAGCTGATTAAATCATAGAAAGAATAATATAATAAGAAAAATTGGATTATCCCTGAGCCCTAGCTGTGTGCAACATGTGTCGTTTTCATCTGCATGCATATAAATGCTTCTTTAGATCTCCTCGAATCTCTCTCCTCCCAAATATAAGAACAAAATCGATTTTTTAAAATTTGTGCTTTTGCTTTGCTTGTGCCAAGTTGCTTTGATAAAATCTCTCACAATTAGAGTCAATTTAATTGTAGATTTTCTCTTAACCCTTTGTAAAAGAAAATAAAGGTATAAATCTGAGTATTAATCCTTATTACTCCAAACAGCTTGTGTAGGTTGTTCTAGCCTTTCCAGGTAACACACCCTCGAAGGCTGCACTCTAGGCTTCTAAAAGCATCCTATAGGTCAGGGGTAGGCAACTCCAGGCCTCGAGTGCCGGTGTCCTGGAGGTTTTAGATGTGTCCGTGATCCATCCCAGCTGATTTAAAGGGCTAAATGACTCCTCAGCATTTCTTGAAGTTCTCCAGAGGCCTGGTAATGAACTAATCATTTGATTCAGGTGTGTTAACCCAGGGTGCGATCTAAAACCTGCAGGACACCGGCACTCGAGGCCTGGAGTTGCCTACCCCTGCTATAGGTTAACAAGTACCACAATCAAGAGGGGAGATGATACAGTTTGACCTGCAAGCGTACTCAGGTTTCTTCATATCAGGGCAATCAGGGAAGACACCTGGTCATCAGTGCAGTCAGGCTGGGCGAGTCCCCTCACCCACACTGGCTCCAGCTAAACCCTGCATCATCTACTGGGTAAGACCCAGTAGAAAATCACCGTCCTGTACAGGGGGGTGGGTACTGAAAATTGACAAATATATTCTCTCTAGGTTTGATTAGAAGCACTGTGTTACCCACACTGTGAGTGTTTTTTGTGCTTCTGTTTTTATTTCAAGTTGACTAGTTTTTGACTTGGTAAAGTCAAGCCAGTTTAACTCACATATCTTTCTATCCCTCCTGCACCCTCTATTCTCCTGCAGCTACAGGAGAATAAAATCGTCAGATTACCTCTTTACGTAAAGCTTTAGGGATGTAGTTCTCCCTTGCCTCTTGTTTAGGTTGAGTTTACAGAAATGACTATTTAATGTAGCTGCAGTTAATAGTCAATGTTAAGTCTATTATATCGGTATCATGTTTCTTTGAATCAAACATGACCAGTGTTGAGTGACTCTGTTTAACCTTTAAATATTTAAGTTGGCTTGAGAACCACCTTGTACATGTAAATGCTTCCTGTGTGTGAATGACAAAGCAACATCAAATCGGCAGTCATAAACAAGACATTTTTAAACTTCTGCACTGGCTAACACTGTGATGAGTCTAGAAGTGATGCTAATACATTCATATATACCCATGATATACCCATGCTCCAGACTGATAACAATACTATCAATAATAACAGTATCATTGTGCCATTGAGATACTATGACAACTATTTAACCTGATCCATAGTGTTGTAGAGAGTGTTGGTGTTAATGTATGTTTGGGGGCATTACACCCTGGAACCTTCAGAGGTTTTTCAGGGCTTTCCCTGTCGGAATGTTGTGTGGGAAACATGTTCCTGTATGTGTTCTGACTAACTGTTGATGCCTCCGAAAGTGGTCATTAAACGTCCTGATAGTGGACCCTGAGTTTTCGAGCATTATTATCCTGAGATTATAACACATAGTATTTAATGGACAGTTGATACTGGTGGCTTTCTCTCTGTGAGCTGCTGGGAGACCTTATGGGGTTTTTATGCTTGATGTGTTGTTTGTGTTGCGGGTGTCGCAAGACAATTTGTGAGATCACATCCTGAATTTACCAATTTAAAGGCAGTACATCGGCTGGTCATTCACCTTTGGATTTTTGTAACTTGGCGCATTGCGCACAGCCATCGCAGCTGGGTTGAAGACATGAGAGAACAATTGTGCCGATTTTTTTTACCACCATTTTGATGAAAATGCAGTACAGAAGCTACTGACACAGTGTGGAAGATGTTGCAACTGTTTGAAAACTTGAGTTTGTGGAAAGAATGTTGCAAAAAACCCACATTTGACAAAGTTTTGGTTTCCAGGTTTTCAGTTTTGACTCTTTTTTTAAAAAAAAAACCTGTCTGACGTGATATTGTCTGATTGGTGACGCTTGTCATTTACAAAATTATTGCTGGTATACATGGCTGTATGATGTATCATTCTCTCTAGCTAGTGATCAGCGCAATGCATGCTATGTCCTATGTGAAAGGGCCTTGGGTAAAGGTATCTGAGGAGGCATATCTTGTGTTGTGGGACTGAATAATAAAAAACACCATAGTATAACTGGTCAAAAACAAAGTTTGAAGTACTACTATTTTTTTTTTACCCCAAGGGCATGCAAGTATTTCCCACACTCTTGCTACACAACATGTTAATGTATGTGCATATATGTATAGTATGTTACCACTTCCCTTTTCAGGGAACAAGAAGTGAAGCACCAACACTTAAAGCTGTTCTGCAGCAATGGGGGTTACTCAAGCCTTGAAAGTTTTTCCTACACGCGTCCAAAGTGTTCTTGATTACTTACAACCCTGCCCCTGCAGATAGAGGCGTTTGCAAAACTAGTGTTGGAACATGCTGTGATACCATGTCCTTGTGAGTATTATTTGAATTGTAATGTACAGCAGAAGATCATGTGTTTCCATAAAAATGGCAAGAAAAAGGAAATTAACCCTAGAAGAAAGACAGACCATCATAACATTTAAAAATATTTCCTACACAGAAATTGCAATGAACTGTAGACTGGAAGGCAGTTTTATGGACTGATGAATCAAAATGTGAAATCTTTGTTTCATGCTGAAGGGATGGTTCCTCAGTGTGTAACAGCATACGTCAAATAAGTAAGAGAAAGCGTCTGGTCTGTATGTAAAGTTCTTTTGCAATGGCATATTTGATGTTTTGGGGACTACATCAATAAAACTAATAAACTAAATCATAACAACAATAAAAAAATAATGTCTAAAAAAAGGCAACAAAAGTGTAGCTGGTCAACAATAAAGTGTGAAGCAGTATCATTATTCTTTACTAAATATTATGTAGCACACTCTTGCTACATATGTATATGTAAATAAATGTATGTTACAAGCTGTACTTATATTATATATTTATATTCCTGCAAACATATTCTTCACTCAGTGCTCACCATGCTGACTGACATGTTTTTCCTTTTTACTTTGTGTTTAAAGATGAAAAGTAAGCCACAATTGATCCTGTGCTTATTTTGTTATCCACATATCTGTAACTGATCATTTCTCTTAATACAGTAACACAGTTTTCTTATTAACATAATCTCAGATTAAAACTTCTTTCAAAATAAATGAAGATTGTTTCGTTCTCTTACTCTCAGACCATAACGACATAATTCTGTTTTCTTTAAGCTAAAAAGTGGAAGAACTTGTCACTTCCTTTTATCCTCTCAGCAGATGAAAGAATAAAGAAAACTTCAATAAGTCTTGAAACCAGCTTTTAAAAAAAATATTTTTAAACCCCTCTCATTCGAGGCTTATCACTGACACTTTGCTTCAGTTCAGAGCCGCTTACACGTTTAGTTATTCTGAAAGCTACTGAGTGGATCGACAGTGAGCAGACATGGGAGCTGTAGTTGGGTTGTTTTTGATGATGTTTGGAGTCTGTCATGATGAGCTGTTCAAATTTTCTCCTGTAGTCCTTCGTTAATACTTCGTTTTGTAGTCAATGTGTTGTTGTTTTCAGCAATGGGAATCAGTAAAATAAGTCTGACATTGTTGTAGTCTAAATAAATCCCCGGTACACACCTGCAGAGGAATTATTATTCTGATGCTGCTTTGAGCAACGTGAAGTTATAGACATCAGCAACCACAGTCAATTGTCTTCCAGGTGCCAGAGCAGGGGACGGTGAGGGAAATTTAAAACTGCTTGGCTAACGGTAAACATAAATTCAGTAAAATCTTTTTTGACGCCAGCGGTAACGACATCTGGTTTAGTCAATTGAAGGTGATAAAACTATTGCATGGTTGTGTAACTTTGGTAAAACAATGTTGTACTCTGTAGTGTTCATTTGTTACCATTACCAGCAAGTCAAACAAGTACAGGATATCTTAGTTTTTCTAAAATTGCTGGCTGTCCGAGTGGTGCCCTAAAAAACAATATGTTTTTTGTATATAATTGCAAAACTTTGTGGGGGAAACCTGGTCTTTTTTTATGGGAAAGGGGATCCATCCCAATTTGGATGAAGCAACTCTCATTTCTCCAAACCTTGACAAATTTATTAAACCTCAAAACGTGGCTAAACAGAGTTGGGACCAGGAAGCAGCGTCACTTCTCGCCTCCTGGTATCCCCTTAGAGACTGACAAAAAGTAAAAAGAGATTTAAAGCAAAAAAATAAATAAATAAATAAAAAAATAAAAAAACAACAACAGCAACAACAAAACATTATAGGGTTCGCAGCTCCACCAAAGAGTAAAACAGTTAAATGTGGATAAGTTGAACATTAGGTCCCTTTTACCTGGTTGCAGCAGGATGAATGTTTAGTTTATTAGATGAATCAAAACCTCGGGTCATACTGTCAGTGTCCATAGCTGGACTGGCCATCGGGCATACCGGTGGGCCGATTGTGATTTTTAATTTTTATGTTTTTTTTGTTTTTTTTTGTAACGGTATAAACAATGAAAGGTGGTGGATTGGCCAGATACTGGCAGATGTGTAGAAATAACTCAATTGTTTGGTGGTGGCTATAGCAGAGCTTCCACAGATTCAATAACATTAGCAAGTGGTGGAGGCCAGCAGGTGGGCCTCCTGCCTCACCGCTGGTCCGAGTATCAGCGGAACTGAACTTCAGGTGAGAAGTTATGACCTGCAGTCTATCTGGGTCAGATATAAACCAAGTTTAGTTTACTTTCGTTGTGCTAACTTTTTACAGTCAGTAACAATAACTCGCACTGCGTATTAGCCACCATGACGGAGTTTCTATACTGCTGGGCGGGTGCTACGATGTTACTAATGGTAAACTTTATTTTATTCATAAGGTTAGTTATTAGAGAACGCAATCTTCTCGTAGAGAAAATATTACGCGTTTCATATTGCGGTGAAAAGGAACGCAATTTGTCCTGTGCTTCAGCTACAATGAAAAAAGACACAAAGCTGGAATTATTCTGTGTGTTCATGCTGTCTTCTTTCACTTTTTAAAGGTTGCCATGTTAGAAAAAATATTTTGCCCTGCCATGCTCCTTTTTTATGTGGTAAATAAATAGTTTATGAAAATATCACTAAATCTGTCATTTATTATTTTTAATATTCAGTAATGATCAAGTTTCACCTCTAGTCTTCTAATTTCAGGTTTCCACTATGTGTTGTAGATAGTTCAGGAAGTTAACTCAACCAAGCAGTCTTTGGGTTTCGGCTAAGTACTGTTTAGAAGACCAGAATAGGGAGGATGGTGTAGGTTTAAGTTTATTAGATTGATACATATATACCAACAAGACAGTATATATCACGTTTGTTTTCATTCAAAGGCTTTATGGTTTTTCCTATAATACCTGGTGAGCAGGTCTCTAGTCACAAATTTTGTCCCAGTCCAGCCCTGACAGTGTCCTTAAAGCACAGGTCCACGTGGTGTGTGGCAGCAATCTTCCACTCCAGAAAATTTTAGTGCTCAGTTCAGATAAAATAATTATTGTGGTTGAACTTAACATCCTTGCAGATGCTGTAAGTAAATATAGTTATGACTGTTGGAGCTGATTAATTTATATTTGAATAATAATATCAATAATAAAATAGGATGAAAGGCGTACCCTTTTTTCAAATATTTATTTAATGCATTTAAGTTTTGGAAAATCCCTCAATTACTTATTTAATTGCATTTTACAGACACTATGTTAGTGTAATTCAAATACTCTGCATTATTTGATCATTTTTAGTGTTTTAACTAGACCAATGTGAGGAGTTCCCTGAAACATCAAATGATCAAAATTGTTCATTCTTGCTATGTTTTTTTTTTGTATTTAAGCTATTGACATTTTAAATTGGTCTGTCTTAAGTATCTACATAGGTCATGATGTTATGATGATAAGGCAATATGAAGAGTAACCTTCTTTCATATCAGGTTCAGTCTTGTCATTTTATTATTTGGACATGAAACCCATAATTTTTAAATGTTTGTTATGAAAACAAGAAACAGAGTGAGCTCTGATTAGGAAATAGTTGGCTGTAGCCTCGCTATGGGTTAGTCACAGACCTGTGTAATGCTCATTCACTTTGTGTGACCTGAGATAGGTTGCACTATTTCTGTTTTAGGTAAACATTTGGAAATGTTGCCATAAATGTTCTGGTAGCGACTGAACACTGAAATTAGTGATATCTTTTTTTAAATTTATTATTGTTATTATTTACAGGTGTGGAAAGTTACTGTGACGGCAGACCAGATGGAGCTCATTGTTATGGAACTTTGGGAGGAACTTTGGACATCAAACTGACGGACAACACCTCAGAAATATTCAGATTCCTACTGTCCAAGAATACATCAGTAATAAAATTCAGGAGAAGCAACAGTCTTAAATATAATACGACAGATGAAAGATTTCTGTTTTATCCCAGTAATGGAACACTTAGGATACATAACCTGAGCAGTACAGACAGCGGTAAATATAACTTTTTGACCTTTAATTCAGATGGAAAAATATCAGCTGAGCGGACTTTACAGATTTTTATTCAAGGTAATTTTTCCCTGCATTACTAGATTGAAAGTTAACATTGTTCTGGTAATTCATATGCATATATACAGTGTGTAAAAAGAAGTATTGAACACATCACCAAATTTCTAAGTAAATGTAATTTTAAAGGTGCTATTGACATGAAATTCTCACCAGATGTCAGTAACAACCTATCCAACCAAACACATGAAAAGAAAAAGAGATAAATCGCCCTCATCACCCTAAAGTGAATTCAAGCGCTACAAATTATTTCACAAGTTCTAAGTTTAAAAGCCTCTTATTAACAAACTCTGACAGAAAGAAAGTTCTGTGAATCTGAGTGTCTTCTCAGTTTCCTGTACAGAATCTCCTCTGCAACACACTCTCTCACAGGGCTCTGCTGAACCGTTATATAGACAGCATGAGACACATTAGAAATATCTGTGAATATAACAGGGAAAAGGACTTGCAGATCAGCGAGGAGCTCACTATCACAGTTAAACAACACTTAGGAAAAGATTAGAGGTCAGATCCCAGCTGAAATAGGAGTCAGGTCATTGCCAGATGCTTCACACACATGCTTGAGTGTTTCAGGTGCATCTGATATGGGGATGGGGATCCTGGCAGATCCCTCCCCTGTAAGGTAAGGCGGGATGAGAGAATACACACACAGCCACCTGCACACAAACAGGATACAGAGGAGGACTGTGACATTTGTCTTGTAAAATATGGTGCAAGAGTGAAAACTCTCAAGTGTGTTTTATTTCACAGCTCTAACTTTCAGAAATATGTGTGTGTCTCTACACAGGTACTTCCTGGTTCATACATGGTTTGAAAGCAGTGGTAATTGCGGTGGTAATTATATCATTAAGTGGGATTTGGATCTACTTCACTTGGAAGAAAAAAACAATATTGGAAGGCTCTGCTGTTCCACAAAGGATGGAATCTCCAGACAACTCTGTTTTAATGACTGAAATGAGTCCTTACTCCAACACCTAGTGTCACCTTTCACCTGCTGTAAATTCGCTGTGTGTCCTTATAGGTGTGCAAATGAGGACTAGGTTCTTCTTCTTCTTGTTCTTTTTTCTTTTGTCATATGTAGTGCACAAGGACACATTTGTTTACACCCTTTGGTGTGTTTGTGTTGCATTTTATAATAAACCATATAGTTTACAATGTGATTTCAGTGTGTGAATAAAGAGGTAACAAAATGTTTATTTCTGGTTCTTAAAGCAGGAATAGTCAAAGAAAAAAAAGACCATGGTAAAGGGGAGAGCAAAAACTTTAGAGGAAAGGAGCTAAAGAACTGAAATAACATCTGAGTCGAACATTAACAATCAAGTTAAAAAGGGTCACGTTTTTATGTTGTGTAGTGTCGGGCAACAGAACTTCAACTGGATGGCATTTAGCCGGATTTGAGCAGACAGTATGTCTCTGAACACCTCAAAATACATTCGGCTGCGTATGTCCTGTGTCATCAATAAACACTGGTGTCCTAGTTCCATTGGCAGCCATGACATGCCTCCGCTGTTTTTTACAGATGATGTGGTATGCTTTGTATTGGTCTTTCACGTGGAATTCCAATAAAATTGATTCATGTTTGTGGCTGTAATGTGACAAATGTGAGAAAGTTCAAGGGGACTGAATACTTTTGCAAGCCACTGTATATAAAAGGGCCTTGGCTAAAGTTCTCTGAGAAGACATATCTTGCGTTGTGGGACTACATAAATAAAACTAAATTTAAAGTCTGAAGAAGTACTTTCTGTTTTTTTTTTAACCACAAGGGCATGCATTTATGTACCACACTCTTGCTACACATTATGTATAACAACTTAAAGCTGTTCTGCAGCAACGGAAATGGATTAAGCCTTGAAAGTTTGTGCTACCATTTCCTACATGCGTCCAAAGTTTCTTGATTACTTACAGCCCTGCTCCTACAGATAGAGCTTTTGTAAAAGTAGTGTTGGAACATGCTGTGGTACCATTCCCTTGTGAGTATTATGTCAGCCTGCAGTTTCCTTTGCCATCAAGAGGCACTCCGAGGGGAAGAGGTCTGCAGACCTCAAACCACACAGAATCAGAAGATACATTTCTGAAGTCATAGCTTGTGTGAGACACTTAATAAGACCACAGCTTCAAACTTGATAGTGATTATAGTAAGCAAGTTTCGGTTTTGACTGTAAAGAGAAGGTTTTGAGTTGCAGGTTTGACAGGTCGAGTTGCAACAAGAAAACCATTTATAAGATTCCAGAATAAGTTAAAAAAAAGGGTTGCCTGGGCCATGAACACATCTGATGGACTACTGTAGACTGGAAGGCAGTTTTATGGACTGATGACTCAAAATGTGAAATCTTTGTTTCATGCAAGATTTTTATATGTCGTTGAGTAGGTGAAGAGATGGTCTTTCCCTTTTCACGTCCTTTGAAATGGCATATTTTGATGTTTTGGGGACTACATCAATAAAACTAATAAACTAAATCATAACAACAATAAAATAATGTCTAAAAAAAGGCAATAAAAGTGTAACTGGTCAACAATAAAGTGTGAAGCAGTATCATTATTCTTTACCACATATTATGTAGCACACTCTTGCTACATATGTATATGTAAATAATAGTATGTTACAAGCTGTACTTATATTATATATTTATATTCCTGCAACATATTCTTCACTCAGTGCTCACCATGCTGACTGACATGTTTTTACTTTTACTTTGCGCTTAAAGATGAAAAATATAAGCCACAATTGATCCTGTGCTTATTTTGTTATCCACATATCTGTTAGTAGGCATTTCTCTTTCTCGTTGACGTAATCTGTCAGTTTTGAGACTTATTTCAAATAAATGACGAATGTTTCGCTCTCTTCCTCCCTGTTAATCGCGATATATTTTTATTCTCGTCAAACTAAAAAGCGGAACAAGAACTTGTCACTTCCTTTTATCCTCTCAGCAGATGAAAGGATAAACAGAAATTCAATAAGACTTGAAACTAGCTTTCTTTGAAAACCCGTTGTCCGAGGCTTATCACTGACGCTTGGCTTCAGTTCAGAGCCGCACACGCGTCTGTTTTTAATTATTTTGAAAGCTGCCGAGTGGATCAACAGTGAGCAGACATGGAAGCTGTAGTTGGATTGTTTTTGATGATGTTTGGAGTCTGTCATGGTGAGCTGTTCAAATTTTCTCATGTAGTCCTTCGTTAATACTTCGTTTTGTAGTCAAAGTGTTGTTGTTGTTGTTGTTTTAAATCAGCCACGGGATCCTGTACAATCAGTTAAAAAAGTCTGATATTGCAACAGTGCTGGATATTGTTGTAGTCTAAACACCCCCGTCCCCTCCCTGTACACACCCGTGGGGTAAATATTATTTTGATTATTGGCGATGCTGCTTTGAGAAACGTGAAGTTCGAGACAGCGAGAACCACAGTCACATGTCTTCCAGGCAGTGGTGTGTCTAGAAAATTTTTGTTGGGGGGCAGGTAGATGCACAGACTTGGAGAAGGGTGGCAGATGTAATGGCAGATAATGTTAAAAAATATCTTAACAACTGTTAACCATAATTCAATAACCCTATAAACCTAATAACCGAACGCACTTTTAACTCTTATTAGAATGAGATTTTAACCACTATGGTGCAAAGGTTTTAGATACTGCATTGATAAAGTACAAGAGATACAATCAGTGCTTTGTTGGTGTTTATTCAGCATTCAAGTACAGCATATTTGCATAGTATTTTTACTGACATATAGCGCACATATGTTTTGGGCAAAAACAGTTTTGAATTTTAAATACGAACATTTTTTAACATACAATTTGCAAATTAGCCAATGCCAATGCAAACTTTATCTGCCTATTAAAAAAAAAAGATAATCTTCTCACAAACTGGTGTTTGATTTTGAAAAGGAAAAAAGTGGGGAAACAAATGAAAAGACTAACATTTGAATGAAACCTGAAAGCAAGTAAATACTTTCTATGCTGCTCTATACATTTTACGTCAGATAAAACTTTTGTTTGCAAGATTCAGATAATTATTTAATAAGAGCTAGATATTTTAAATGAGAATAAGAAAGAAAAGTATTTCTTTGTGCCCCCTTTCCCTGTTAATGCCCCACCTGGCCCCCTGGCAAAACTTTCCTAGAGAATGAGAGAAGAAGAGGCAGCTGTGCAGCGTAAACACACAGAATAACTCCAGCTTTGTGTCTTTTTTTCATTCTAGCTGAAGTACGGGACAAACTGCGTCTCTTCTCAGCTTAATACGAAATGCGTAATATTACCGTTCCATTTTTTAAGGAGCCGTTGGCAACTCTACTAATAACCAGCGGAGGCGTCACCCAGAGGGGAGCCATTGAAATGTGGGGTGAAGAATGTGAGAGGGGTCGTTGATGATTTTGGCTGCCTGTCTAAGGGCCTGTTGGCTGAAAACCTGTGCCAGATTTTTGACAGGCAGGCCAATGATTTTAGAGCACACTGATGCAGTGTGCTGCAGTCTGTATAGCAGCAATCTTCCACTCTTGCTAATTAATCAACCATAGAGAGACAGAATTTTCATTCATTAGAAATCCTGATACTTAGCCTCATCCACCCTAATTGTCAAAACTCTCATAAATCAGTTGTTAAACTCACAACACATAAATTATTTGTTATTATCTATCATCCACATAGCCCTTACTCAGAGTTTCTGATTTAGTGCTCAGTTCAGATAAAATAATTATTGTGGGTGATCTTGACATCCTTGCAGATGCTGAAAGTAGATATAGTTATGACCGTTGAGCTGATTAATTTATATTTGAATAATAATTTTTTTAAAATTTATTTTGTTTGTAGAAAAGCTAATTCAACTTTTGCGAGATCTCGCAAAAGTTGATATTGGCTCGGTTTACAAGACATCACATATTCGCAAAAGTGCTCCGACGTTTTAGGAGATGTATGAAACTTTTGCGAGATCCCGAGTTTGTTTTGCGAGATCTTGCAAAAGTCCGTCTTAATTTTTTTTTCTCCCATGTCCGCTGCGGGGCTCCGAACTATTTACATTTTAAATGGGTCTAGCTTAAGTAACACAATAGGTCATGATGTTATGATGATAGGGCAACATCAGCAGTAACAGTTACCTGAAACATCAAATTATTTTATTATTTGGACATAAATTATAATTATATAATTATAAAAAAAAAAGCACAGTTGACTAACTGTGCTCATTCACTTTGTGTGACCTGAGATAGGTCGCACTATTTCTGTTTCAGATAAACATTTGGAAATGCTGCCATAAATGTTCTTGGTGGCGACTAAACACAGAAATGAGTGATATCTTTTCTTTAATTCATTATTATTATTATTTACAGGTGTGGGAAAGTTACTGTGACGGCAGACCAGATGGAGCTCATTGTTATGGAACTTTGGGAGGAACTTTGGACATCAAACTGACGGACAGCACCTCAGAAATATTCAGATTCCAACTATTAAAAATACATCAGTAATAAAATTCAGGGAAGCAACAGTTCTAGATATAATACGACAGATGAAAGATTTCTGTTTTATCCAGTAATGGAACACTTAGGATAAATAACCTGAGCAGTACAGACAGCGGTAAATATAACTTTTCAACCTTTAATTCAGATGGAAAAATATCCGCTGAGCGGACTTTACAAATTTTTATTCAAGGTAATTTTTCCCTGTATTACTAGATCGAAATTTAACATTGTTCTACTAATCCATATGCATATTTACAGTGTGTAAAAAGAGTTTTGAACACAACACCAATTTTCTAAGTAAATCTAATTTTAAAAGTGGTATTGACATAAAATTCTCACCGGATGTCAGTAACAACCTGTCCAATCCACACACGTAAAAAAAAACCCCCACAGATGTCCATTATTATGTTATGTGTAATATTGAGAAATGACAAAGGGAAAAAGGTGCAAAAAAGCATTGAAAATCATGACACCAGCTGAGATCTGTCAGCAATAATAAGCAGTCCTGTCACTTAGTGCAAATTAATTTTAGGTGGTTCAGTTCCAACTGCTAACCAATAAAAAGGTGTCTTGTTACCAAGGTGTCACACAAGAAATCTCTCATAATGGGTAAAACAAATGAGCAAGACCTTCATAACCTTATTTTTTTAAAATAAACATACTGATAGCATTGGTTACAGACAAAATGTAAACTACTGAAGTTTACTGATCTCTGTTGAAGCCATAATCCTGAAGTGGAAAGAAAATAAGTTCACCCGGAAGATTTCAGACAGAGGAGTGAAAAGAATAATCCTTTGAGTTCTGATAGCTGGCCCTTCTCATAGGACCAGTTGAGGAGAGCTACAGAAAGACTTGGAATCAGCAGGTACAATTGTTTAAAACGATAAGTAATGCACTCAACCACCATGGCCTGTATGTGCACTCACCATGCAAGATTGCATTGCTGAAGAAGCGTGTTTAAGTTTACTAAACAAAATTTAGACAAGCCTGTGAAATACTGGGAAAATATGTCTGGTCAGATGAAACCAAAAATGAACTCTTTGGATACCATAATATATGCCATGTTTGAAGATCAAAAGGCACTGCATATCACCCCCAAAACACCATATCAACAGTGAAGTTTGGAGGTGAGAACATCATGGTGTGGAGCTGTTGTTCAGCATACGGGACTGGCATGCTGGAAAATGCACCAAGACATTTTTGACAAAATCTGCTGCCATCTACCAGGATGATGACGATGAAACGAGGGTGGACGTTTCAGCAAGAGAATGATCCCAAACACAAAGCCACGGAAAATCTAGAGTGGCCCAGCCAATCACTTGACCTGAATCACTTTGAAAATCTATGGAAAGAAATAAAGCTCAGAGATCATAGAATAGGGAGATTCTTGTGTGGAAGAATTGGCAAAATCACTCATGAGCAAGCATGCAACTGGTTTCTCCATACAGGACGCACCAACAAAGGCTTTTGTACAAAGTAGTAAATTCGGTAAGTGTGTTTTCTCTGTGTCATTTCTCTTTATTAAACATATCCTAATTTATGGAAATCTGTGGTTTGATTTCTTGCGTGTGTGGATTGGACGGGCTTGTCACTGACATCTGGTGAGAATTTCACGGCAATAGTGCTAGAATATATTACAAAAATGGTCACTTATTCAATAAATAAATAATCTCTCTGTCTTCTCTATCTTATCTATGATAAATGTAGTTTGTGCTTTTGCTGTTCTTCATTAGAGGCTATAAAGTATGTCCAGATTGTGTTTTAGCGTCAAAAGTCATCTGTTTGTGTTTCTCTTGGCTCCTGTGTCCTTTTATTTTAGAAGGAGGTATTTTGCCAGTGATCTGTGGTGTTCTCTCAGCACTGGTGATTTTCTTAGTTGTGGGTGTAGCTGTCATCTGTTTTGAGAGGAGAAAAAACAAAACAAAAAAAAGGTACAAAACTTGCTTTTCAATCACCTCACTCAGCCTTTTGCTCTTCTTGTAGATATACAGAATCACATTATGCTTCTTTTTTGAAGACACTTTTTTGCTTTCTTGCTAATGATTTCTTCATAATGTTATAATTTCATTGAAATATGTTGGTATTGCTAACCAGTCAGCTCTACTGCAGTAAAAACATGATCAAAACAGGTCAGAAACAGCATGTTTCACAAAACTATTACCCTAATGAATCACTGATGTTAATTTTATCTTGCTTCTATGCAGAGGAAGATGACCAGGAAGTAATGTACGCTGATGTTAGGATCAGGCAGCAGCAGGAGAAGCAAGTGAAGGGAAGAGAAGAGGAAGTGGAGTATGGCCAAGTGAAGCTTTCACAGTGATCTTATCAGACTGAACCAACGTGATGATTGTACAGAAAGATTGTTTGTGTCGCAAAATCCTTAAAATCAGGTGATTTAGATGGTCTGTGCATTTATACAGACTGCACCACTAAATGCCCACAGAGGGAGGAAGTGATGCTAAATCCCTAAACATCTTTTCTATCACAAAACGATTTCCTTTGCTTCATCTTTACTTTGTATTATAACAGAGCATAAATTCATCATTTAAATGGAAATAATTCAAGTAAGAACACTGAAGTTTTGTATGAATTAAAGTGGAGCAACAGCTTTGAGCATGACAACACATCCAGATGTTACAGTTACAGAATATGAGAAACCTTTTGTTTCGTGTTACTTGGTTTCATCAATGATTAATACTTTTTACTCTGTAAACAAAGACACACCACCTTTTTATTAAAGACAATTCAGATTTATTTATATAGAACTAAATCATAAAATATCAAAAAACCCTACAATAATACAGATATGAGCACGGCCAATTACTTGTTATAGTGACAATAATACCATATTGATAATGTTTTGTCATCAGTCTGGGATCTACATATGTGTTCGTTAGTGTTAAGGTGTAAAAATTCTCTTTATGCTAAATCAAAAATATAGTATTGTGAATAATGCTTCTATTATGCTAAAGATGTCCATCCATCTATCCATCTTCATCCGCTTTGTCCGGCGGGTCGCGGGGGCAGCAGCCTAAGCAAAGAGGCCCAGACCTCCCTCTCCCCAGCCACCTCCTCCAGCTTGTCCGGGGAATACCAAGGCGTTCCCAGGCCAGCCGAGAGATATAATCTCTCCAGCGTGTCCTGGGTCTGCCCCGGGGCCTCCTCCCGGTGGGACATGCCTGGAACACCCCACCAGGAGGCGCCAGGGGGCATCCTTGTCAGATGCCCGAACCACCTCAGCTGGCTCCTTTCGATGTGGAGCAGCAGCTGCTCTACTCTGAGCCCCTCCGGATGGCCGAACTTCTCACCCTATCTCTAAGGGAGAGGCCAGCCACCCTTCGGAGGAAGCTCATTTCTGCCGCTTGTATCCGCGATCTCGTTCTTTCGGTCACTACCCACAGCTCGTGGCCATAGGTGAGGGTAGGGACGTAGATCGACCGGTAAATTGAGAGCTTCGCTTTTACACTCAGCTCCCTCTTCACCACGACGGACCGGTGCAGCGTCCGCATTACTGCAGCTGCAGCCCCAATCCGTCTGTCGATCTCGGCTCCCTTCTCCCATCACTCGCGAACAAGCCCCGAGATACTTGAATCCTCCACTTGGGGCAGGAACTCATCCATGCTAAAGATGTTTTTTGTTTTATTTTAATTGACTGGGTTTTCATATATTTGCTTCTCTATAGTTACCAGTCACAACATATTTGTAACATTGATTTTGTGCATTTGGTGGATTTACAGAAATTGCCATGGTCCTGGTCTCGGTATTGAAGTTTGGATTTAGGTTATCTTTGGATTAGGTTTCCGTTATTTTACTATTAGTTTTCGTTCACATAATAGTTTATTCCTTTGTCTGTATATGTTTTTTTTCTAGCCTTTTCGTTTGTGCCATCGGTTCTTGGCTCTGATGACTTAAATTTAGTTAGTTCCCCTTTCCAGTGTGTTCCTCCTTCTGTCTTATCTCTGTCCTTTTCTTTCAGTGTTTCCTCATTTCTGTCGACATCTCTCATGCTGTTTTCTTGTCTGCTTCCTCTAGTTACGCTCTTGTTTAACCGTTTAAAGACAAACTGCATCATGTTCAGTTTTTTTTAAGAGTTTCTGAGACTTCAACATCATCAGTTTGTTTTTTTGATTCAGGCTTAAAGAGTTCAGTTCAGTTCATGTTCAGTTTTTCTTGATGAGGTTTTTAGCTTTTCTTCCTGGCTTTGCTCTCACTGATCACCTGATTATCAGCCCATCTGTCTCCTTTTCTCTGACTAACTGATACTTGACATGACTAAATGATGTAATTACTTTGTTTCTTATCTCTTTAGAGTCGTTTCACTTACATGTTTTATCACCGTATGATTTACTCTTTTAGAAATAATTACACTCTAAAATGTCAGTTGAATTGCCTTTTTGTTATGAAAAATAATAATAAATAATTATTAAAGTTTCAGTGAGTAATCTCTATAATTTTTATGGTAAGCTGTGTGGAAGACAGGGGTCGGAGACTGAACACTTAACTAAAGATGGCAGCTTTATTGCTGGAAAAAATGAACTAAAACAACATCAAGGCTGAAAGAAACAAACAAAAGCTAAACTAAACCCAAGGATCTTGAATTTGACAACTAACGACTTGATGTGACTGGAGAACGTAGCACTAACACAACACCACATAGGAAAAATGGAGAACACGACAAAGAACAGAGGGAGACTGGTGATATGATATATTGTCATCCTTTTACAACAACATGAATGTACTATTGCTGTGTGGTTTATTACTATTACTGAAGGTTACTCGCCACCAAGCTAACATTGTTAGCTAGTGTCAGCTGAGGTTAGTTCATAAACTGCAGACTGTTAAACTTGATGGAAGCATTAACAAGAGTTTTTAAATCTGAGAGTCTTTAAATCTAGCTGAGATTGCTCAGCTGAGCAGAGAGACCGATCTTATCAGGGCTCAACTCAGCCAGGCAAAGGGCCTCGGGTCAGGGGTCAGAGAATCGCTCGACAGTGGCAATGAGAGAAGAGGGTTGAGCTGCAGAGAGTAACACCTCAGAGCGCTGCAGAGAGCAGGATGTCTGGGTCCAGCTGTAAAGAGAGGCGGAGCCAGCATGTGTGGACTCCTGAAGAACAACAGCTGACTCAACAGGTAAGATTTAAGGGGTTGTTTGAAGCTCTCTGAGAGCAGCTCACCTTTTAGAAGTGGAGTAGTGGCTGCTCTTATCCTCCCTTCATAGCGTGATGCGACAGGTGTGTCGAGGAATGAACTGCGCTGAGCCTTTAGGTGTTCTCCTCATTCAGATATAGTAATGATTCACATGCAGTGTGTGTCTTGTTTTTTGCTGGGTTTTTTTTTTTTGCTTAGGCAACATCACTCAACACTTTCAGTGCAAACAGAGTGGAGCAATGCCTCCTGGAGCTGAACAGGCAGAGCGCTGCAGCCCAAGGTCAACTGCTGGAAATAATCGAGCAACAGAAGCGAAGTGTTTCAGCCAGAGTCTCTCCCACTGTCTCCCCGATCCCAGCTTCTGCCTTCTGCCCGAATCCAGAATCCAGTGGGTAAAAGCAACATGTCGCTGTCTGTCTGGAGCACACATGACAGTTTAAAATCATTACACCTCATCTTTTGCAGCGGAACGCCTGCAGGCATCAGAGCGGGAGCTCCGGTCACACAGTGGTGGCGGTGAGGGTGAGAGGAGGTGAGTATCAGATCGGCTCAGAGAGGGATGTTATGACAAAGAACAGTAAGGTTATTTTCCAGCACCTTAAACAGACACAAGGTGATGATGTCAGGAAGAAGAACTGACTGAAGATCACATGATGTAGGTGATTAATTATCTTTTGCTGCAGGTTTGCTGGCTCTGATGCATCTTCTTACAGTTTTGGAAGAGAAACTAGGGATGGCAAAACACAGGTACACACACGCACGCACGCACGCACGCACGCATGCACGCACGCACGCACAACAGAAATGTTACCAAATAATAATTAACTCACCTCTGTTTTTTGTAGTTCCACTTGCCTTCTTATGAATCCTACAAGACACTGTTCTTTATATAGAGATCATTAAATACTGATCAGATATCAGTATTTGATGAAAGGTCTGCCCCTCACAAACTCCTCCCAGCTGACCCAGTTATAATGAGTTTGGTGGTAAAGATGTGTCGATAAAAATTATGAACCAAAATTTTTATCCGTATTCTGTTTACATTTAAAAAATATTGCTTATAGCACCATTTAATCTATTTAATAGCAGTATTTCAAAGCCCGAACTTATTTCAACATGAAATGCTATCACATATAGATTGTCTGCAGTCCAAAATCCAGTGTAACCTAAATTTGTTCCAGTATTATTCTTAAAGTGGTTTTAGCTGCAACACAAACAGTAAAGGCTTTAGAGTGAAAGTTGCTTATTTTTCTGGAATTGAAAAACTCAGTTTCTATCTTTAGGGTTAAGACTGGAGTAAAGCCGTATCCACGCTGTACTGTTAATCAATGCTTCTCTTGGGCACTTCAATCAGGCCGGTGTGAGAACACTCCTTCCACATCACTACAAACACACGGACTTTGCAACAAAAAAGTTTTTTTGCTCTGCTCCTCCCAAACTCCTCCCAAACTCCTCCCAATAACTGAGATGTCATATAAGATGTATAAGGAGTGTACATGAGTTTCAAATGAGTAATAAAAAAAACAAAAGTCAAAGTAGAATGGCTACACCACATGATTTCCCAGAAACCATGTGACTTAAGTTTCACCTTACTCATAAGCTCATTTATACCAACACGTATAAGTTTGTCTCCACCTGCTGGGCGGTGGCGTGTTTAGAGTGGAGGATGTAGTTGCAGCTGTCCTGCAGGAGGAGGTGGTGCAGGACAAGCAGAGCAGCAGATTTGTGAGTGTTTTGGACTTGAATTAAAAAGACCAAGACGTGCTGATGAGGCTGCTGTGTGAAGTAGAGACATGTATAAGGATGTGTATAAAGATTGGGTCTCGCTGTATTGCTCAGGCTGTGCTACAGCATCTATTCACAGGTGCGATCCCACTACTGAGCGACACAGGGGCTTTGACCTGCTCCGTCTCCGACCTGGGCACCCCTCCTTAGGTGACCTGGTGGTTCCGGGCTCCCCCGGGATCACCATATCGATGCCAAACTTAGTGCAGACACCCGATCGACATAGCCTGCTGCAGCTCAGAGCTCCTGAGCTCAAATGATCCTCCAACCTCAGCCTCCCGGTAGCTTGGATTACAGGCACACGCCACCGCACCCAGCGAGAAGCACTTAGGTTAACAGGGCTTTTAACCATGTCTGAGGTGACATCATGACACTAACCTGCTGCCCATCATTAGCAAAGTCGTAATGATGGGCAGCAAAGATGAGGAATGAATGGTGCACAGTTGTTATATGCAAGTTTTTAGAAAGCTTGTGGTTAACCCTAGAGCATTTTGTCACAATATCAAGAAGAGTAACGCTTCAATGTCAGAAGTGGGATTCAA